GTCGTTAAGAATAATTCATTTTCAAATTTGCACTTTCCTATGGTAATAGTTATTATGGTAAAATAGTAATTATGGTAAATATTACCATAGGTAATAATCACAGGTAATAACTATTTCTTTAACTATTTAATTATACGTGTCCTTTAATTTATGGTGCCAACGCTGCGATGTTGGATCGCAATTTTATACCTAAATTTATTGCCTGGAAGTAACACGTTGAAATTAATAGTGGTAGATGTTTCACGGAACAATGTCTATTTCGTCGATCGTAGAGAACAAAACGGTTGCGTTTAGTACCAGCAATAATTTATCATAGAATCGCAGAGTCCTCTTCGTCACGCGAAACGACGCTCGTAAAGAGATCCTGGAAACCGTTCACGTTGCTCCAATGTAGTTACGACCATTTTCCATTTATTCCTTCAATATCATAAGAGAACGTTCCGTAGGGAAAAGACACCCTACCGCTCCTTGATTATTAATTGTTATATTTCCAAATTTACATAAATTAAAAAATTTACAATTTGAAATTCTAGCACGTGGACATATCGCCACTCTAACACGTGGCGATATAACGCGAGGGGATACTAATGCGTCGAAATTCCAGTGCGTGGCAATATAACGCGAGGGGTTTCTAACGCGTAGCAATTCTAACACGTGGCGATATAACGGGAGGAGATACTAATGCGTACTAATTCTAACACGTGGCAATACAACGAGATACACTGCGTAGGCTTAACAACTCGTGTCCTCAAAGTACTTAAATTGTATTGACATCGACAAGAGCACTGTTTCCGAATACCCAGCCTGAAGGAAACGCGTGCTTTCAACAGCTGACGCGATCCTGCGTGCTTGCGTAACTCGAATTACGTAATGGCGGCCATTCCGATGACAGAGCCTCGGCGTCATCGGGTTTGTTCTATGCTAAATATCGATCACCATCCTGCGTGTGCGGTTATTATCGCGTGTGTCATTCGTTGCACGATTTCCCAGCGTCTTTCTCCTGGGAAGAAAAGCTCCGGAGATCGTTATGAAAGACTGTGAACGTCATCGGGCGTTGTGCAATAAAACTTGATCATTCGCAATACTCTTCGTTTGTTTACATCCAGTGTCTACTGAAATGACTTCGACTTGAGTCCCACATGCGTGTAGGAAGACAAAACGGTAATTGTACGAATACAATTTAATTCGACTTGTCAATTGCCACGCGTACACTGCTCCTTCATAAATTCAACTTAACCCCGGCTATTACCGGGGGTCAAATGTCTTGATCGCCGCCATCAATCTCTGTCGTCACTGTCGAATTAACTCGATCGCTCTCCCTGTCGTTTCCGCTCAACCAGAAAGTTCACCGTATCGTTACAACGGGTGGATCGTTTTTTTATTACGGTGCATACGTGCACAATTACTTTTGCTGTTTATTTTAACACGTAGAGTGACGGTGGAAATGGATAGTCGTTAAGAATAATTCATTTTCAAATTTGCACTTTCCTATGGTAATAGTTATTATGGTAAAATAGTAATTATGGTAAATATTACCATAGGTAATAATCACAGGTAATAACTATTTCTTTAACTATTTAATTATACGTGTCCTTTAATTTATGGTGCCAACGCTGCGATGTTGGATCGCAATTTTATACCTAAATTTATTGCCTGGAAGTAACACGTTGAAATTAATAGTGGTAGATGTTTCACGGAACAATGTCTATTTCGTCGATCGTAGAGAACAAAACGGTTGCGTTTAGTACCAGCAATAATTTATCATAGAATCGCAGAGTCCTCTTCGTCACGCGAAACGACGCTCGTAAAGAGATCCTGGAAACCGTTCACGTTGCTCCAATGTAGTTACGACCATTTTCCATTTATTCCTTCAATATCATAAGAGAACGTTCCGTAGGGAAAAGACACCCTACCGCTCCTTGATTATTAATTGTTATATTTCCAAATTTACATAAATTAAAAAATTTACAATTTGAAATTCTAGCACGTGGACATATCGCCACTCTAACACGTGGCGATATAACGCGAGGGGATACTAATGCGTCGAAATTCCAGTGCGTGGCAATATAACGCGAGGGGTTTCTAACGCGTAGCAATTCTAACACGTGGCGATATAACGCGAGGGGTTACTAAGGCAAAGTAATTCTAGTGCGCGGCGATATAACGCGAGGGGACACTAATGCGTAGAAATTCCAGTGCGTGGCAATATAGCGCGAGGGAATTCTAACGCGTGGCGATATAACGCGAGGGAATTTTAACGCGTGGCGATATAACGCGAAGGGATTCTAACGCGTAGAAATTCTATTGCGCGGCGATACAACGCGAGGGGATACTAATGCGTAGTAATTCCAGTGCGTGGCAATATAACGCGAGGGGATTCTAACGCGTAATAATTCTAACACGTGGCGATATAACGCGAGGGGATACTAACACTTACCTACCACCTCGAAAATTTAAAAACCTGCTAACTTGAAAATTTAATAACTCACAAACCTGAAAATCTAAGAACATAAAAATCTAAAAATTCAAAAGTACAAAAAGTCACCCAAAATAAGAATGCATTCGAAGGTGGACTTTCTGAAATATCAGAAGATATTTTATTCATTCGTCGTTGCACCATTTCGAACGTTTCGTTTGTTCATTGAATTCTAACGTTCGATTCACGGTGCATACGAAGATAATGGCACACGGATTCCCACAGCATCGAACGCGGTTAGGTCATCATTGTCCATGGTCATGGGCCGTCTAGGTGGTCCTCGTGAAAAGGAAACTGCATAATATATGCACGCGGGTTTTATTGCGGCACGCGGGCAAACGCATAAAAGAAAGGCAGCCGTATTATGCGCGACACGAGTTCACCGACACGCCGGTTTATCTTATGTTTAGTAATGGAATCAGGCGTGACGCAAGTGGTGCCAGCGCGATTTTTACACTTGCATTTCTTTTTGTACATTAAATAACTTCCGTTCATTCTATACTCCACATCGACACATCTATTGTCAAAACAAATTTCATTTTCCTCTAAATATTTTTTTAATTGGGTAACGACAATTTCTATCCGGGGTGGTTTCTGCAAAATTATCTCCAATTATCTGAATATGTAACGCATTGTAAATAAATCATTATACATATGGTTAATAAAAATTACAAATTTTCCAATACTTTTTCTAATTGATAATCTTAGTCTCGTACTAACAAACTAAACAATTTTTTAAAATATAAATTAATCAATTTGAACTTCTCATATGAACACTAAATCATATGAACTGTAGCTAAGTAGCGTAAGAATATCAGATAGTTTTCCATCGAGAGACATTCACTCCGAGCTGGTCCCATGATTCTTACCGAGTCAAAAAGTGTCCTGAATGATATGAATTTTCAGGTGGTTCGTAACCTCCTCTCCTACGTAGAAACCGCCGATACGGTGTCGCGTAAAAGAAGGACCGTGGGAGGCGAAGAGAGTGCATTCGCGTAGGCCTGTATCCTGTGCCACGTCCATTTGTCCCCGTGTCCGTTTCGTTTGTCGACAGTAGTATGTATGCGCTGTCGAGATTATCTTTTTGGTAGAAAACTAGTCACCATAAATCCTTGAGAATGTTATAGTCTTTCCAATTCTTTACAATGAACCGTGGAAGAATAGGCGATCTCGCTAACTAGCCACAATACATCCTTATAGCACCGTATAGTGATTGGCTAGATAACACGCTATGATTCTACCGAGTTGCGATACTGACACGTAGGGACTCTGCATGGAGATATAACGCGTTGTGATACTAATGCGTAGCGATTCGCACGTGGTGATAGAATGCATGCCAATTCCCTTTCGTTGTGATTCTGACGCGTAGCAATTGTAACACGTGGCGATATAACGCGAGGGAATTCTAACGCGTAGCAATTCTAACGG